GAAAACTTCTATAACCTAGCAAAGGAAATAGACATACAAGCCCGGGAAGCACAGAGAGTCTCAAACAAGACGAACCCAAAGAGATCTTGACCAAGATACATCATAATTAACATGCCAAAGATTAAAGACAAAATCTTAAAAGCAGCAAGAGAAAAGCAGTTAGTTAACTACAAGGGAGTTTTCATAAGACTATCAGCTGATTTCTCAATAGAAACTTTACAGGCCAAAGGGATTGGCATGAAATATTAAACATGATGAAAAACAAGGATGAACAACCAAGATTACCCACCAAGTCTATTGTTTAGAATTAAAGGAGAGATGAAGAGTTTCCCAGATGAGAAAAAGGTGAAGGAGTTCATTACCACCAAACCAATAATACAAGAAATGTTAAAGGAACTTAAGAAAAAAAAGATAAAAAATATGAATAAGTAAATTTCACAAAGAAAAAAATATTCTTACTGACAAAGGCAAACATGTAATAAAAGCAGTGAGTAAACCAACACTAAAGCTAGCACAAGGGTTAAAAGCCGCAAGTAGGATGATCGTGTGTAATTACAACAGGAAATTAAAAAATATAAACACACAAGAAGTAAAAAATAACGACAAAAACATAAACATGGAGGGGTGAGTAAAAATGGTAGTAATTATAGAATATGTTTGAACTTAAGTGTCTCAATTTAAAATAGACTGCTATAATCATACCTTGGTATATACAAAGCACATGGTAAGTACAAATCAAAAATATACAAGACATACACAAGGACTAAAGAGAAAGAAATCCAAACACAACACGACAGCAAGTCAACAACATACAAGAGAGCAAGACAATAAGGAATGGAGTACTACAGAAACAATCAGAAAACAACAAAATGGCGAGAACATTATGCCTTTCAATAACTCTTTTAAATGTAAATGGATTCAATGCTCCAATCAAAAAATGAATGGATTAAGAAGTGGTACATATATGCAATGGCATATTAGCCATAAAAAAGAATGAAGTCTTACCATTTACAACAACATGGATGGACGTAGAGGGTATTATGCTAAGTGAAATAAGTCAGATGAAGACAGACAAATGCCACACAATTTTACTCACATGTGGAATCTAAAAAACAAAACAAAACAAATGAATAAGCAAGACAGTCATAAACTCATAGATGCAGAGAACAGACTGATAGTTGCCAGATGGGAGGGGGTTTGGACACTGGGTGAAAAGAGTGAAGAGATTGAGATTAAGAAGTACAAATTGGCAGTTACAAAATAGTTATGGGGATGTAAAGTACAGCTTAGAGAATATAGTTAATATTGTAATAACTATGTATGATGCAGGTGGGTACAAGACTTATTGGGGAAATCATTCCGTAAGTTATAAAAATGTCTAACCACTATGCTGTACACCTAGACTAATACAATATTGAATGTCAACTGTAATTAATTTTTTTAAAAGAATTCTTGCCCTTTACATATTGAGAATATTAAATTCTAGTGTATCATATGTATTACAAATATGATTTCCTACTTTTTAGTTGCTGTTGTTCTTATGGCATTTTTAGCATAAATGTCTATTTTCTAACATCATTGAGTCATTAGTTTTTTTACTTTATAGTTTCTATCTTTGATACTGTTCTTAGCAAGACCTTCCTACCTCCAGATTTTAGAAATAGTTACCTTTTACTTTTATTATTGTTATAGTTTCATTTTTTACTTAACCTAGCTATATATTGACTAAAGATATGCTGTAAGGATCCATCCGACTTTATTTTTTGTTGGATTACTAAATAAAACCATGTATTATCTAAGATCCTTTTTATACTGATTTGAAATGTGTTTATCATAAACTCTGTATGTTTATGTATTAGCACCTATATCCTGTGGCTTTCGAATCCTAATTTTTGTGGCTTTATAGATTACTACATGGGATGCAAATCTCTCTATGCTTTTTCAGAAAATCTTCGTTATTCATACATTTTTGGTAAATCAAATTTAGAATTATTCTTGTAAAGTCTATTATTTCTAATTACATTAAAATTATAAATTAGCTTTGGAGCCTTTTTTTACATCCTGACCAGAATCTACTCTCCAGTTGTTTTAAAATCTGAAAACCAAATGATGGAAATCTAAATAGCTAATAAACACATTAAAATGTGGCTAAGCTTGTTAGTAATCAGAGGAATGACGATTTAAATGACAGTGAAAGACTATTACACACTAGACTGGTAAAAATCAAAAGATGAGTTAATTTCGAGTGTGGGTAAGAAGGTGAGCGAAAGGAAGGCTTACACATCACTGGTCCTATTGTTAATTGGTACAAACACTTCAGTAAATTGTTTGGTGTTATCTGTTGTATATGAAGATACACATTCCATCCCCAGCAGTTCCCCTCCCAAGAATATACCCTAAAGATGTGTGGACTTAGAGGAGTCTTACATGTGCAAGAATATTCACGAGAGCATTGTTCATGATACTCCCAAACTGAGAACAATCCAAATAGCCCAACGATTGGATAGGTAGGTAAATTACAGTATATTCATATAGCACTGAACGTGAACAAACTGAAACTATGTGTGGCAATTAGGACAAATCTGATACACACATTCCTGAGCAAGAAAAGCAAGATACCAAAGAAACAAGTAGGATTTAACATAGGAGATTTACATATACACACACATACATTATGTGCACATGCATGTTATATATACATATATGTACACATATATAACATGCAAGGAAAACGAAAGTATTGCTTAGAAGTGCATATGTGGGTAGGAAATCTATGTAGAAAGGGAACAAAATTACTAACATAAATTCAAGATAATGGTTACCTCCAGGGTCGTGAACAGGACAAGACACAGTGGTGGGGTCAAGATCCTATTCTGTGACCTGCATCATAGCACCTGGCCATTTATTTGCTTTTAACTACTCGTTAAATTGTTTTGTTTTTTTTCTATTCTGAAATTAGGTATAGAAATACTTTAAAAACCAAACGAAATGCCCGATGGCTTTCTGAAGGAAGCTGAGTCCCTCTCACCTCTCTATTTGTACCCTCGCTAAAGGGTTGACAAAAGCCCCCCATTATTTTCCTGCTCTGGTTTTTCAGCTCTTTGAAGGCTCAAAGAATTATCCATCTGTTGTGCCTTTGCATGTTATGTTTTTTATTAATGTTCTACCAAAATTCCTCAGTACCTAGCACACCATGAATGTTTGTTGAAAGAATGAATATACATTCAAATGTCTTAATGCTGGAAATCAGAATATGTAGAAAAGCAAAAGGATATTCATAGAGACTCCAAGAACAGTCCAAGAGGACAGAATTCGTCCCCTTATTCTGTTTATGCTTATTCTGTTAGGTATTTTGTTAGCACAATGGTCTATTTATCCCTCAGAGTTCTCTAAGTGAGATTCTGTCACCTGGGAGACTATCTCAGATGACTTGCTGTGAGATACTGAGAAGGGAAAGCAGAATGATGGCCTGTTCCATCCAGTCTGTGGGGTACCAGGGGGTAGGGCCATTATCTCCTAAATTGTATGGGGAGCTGTGGCTTACAGAGAGGATACAGTGATGCATAAAAGGTGACTCCACTAGGGAGTGAGGTCTGCTTAGTCCTTCTACAGCTGGCTCCTACAGTTACGGTCAGTCCTGGGCATTCAGTTTCCAATTGGATGCTGTCCACAGGATTTTACTTAGAACTTGAGTGCACTGGGCGGGGCAAGCCTGTGTGTGCAGGCCCCATGTCATACCAATTTCCTTTGTCCAGAGCAAGCACCTTACTACCAGGGGCTTGCATCAACTGTATACAGAGTTCTCTAAGTGAGATTCTGTCACCTGGGAGAAGCTCAACTGTATGTAGCTTTGGGCTAAAACTCCCATTAAGGATATTCACCTCTCTAGAAGCATGCCTGATTTTCTGAGCACTTTCTAGGTGCCAGGCACTGTGCTGAGATTTTAGCATGTACTATCTCACTTAATTTGTCACCTCTGTAAAGACTGCTGCCTTATCATTCTGTTTTTATTGGTGAGAGTTCTCAAGCTCAGTCACCGACTTGTTCAAGGTCACAATAAATGATGAAGGCAAGTTTTGAACTCAGATGGCACAGCTCCAGAGCTAATGGTTGCAACCACAGCTTGATTCATCGATTCAGCATCAATCGTTAATTCAATAAATGTCTCAAGAAAGCCTAAATGCCAGGTTCAATACTGGACACAAGCAGATAAGATACCTGCTTTTGCTTCATGTTTCATCCTCCCTAACTCCTGAGGAGTAGAGTAGTAGAGTAGAGTAGATTCTGTAATCTACATACTCTTCCATTCTTGGAAGAGTATGTAGATTACAGAAGGTTCACTTTGTGTCAAACTGCTTAGAGATTGCATAACTGGGAGTTTCCATTGGTGGTAAAATTGACTGTAGCTTTGCCTTGCACTGGAGTCCAAACAACTGTTACTAAATATAAGTGCCCCACAGCTGTAAAACATTTTATCTTAGAGTGCCCACTCCCTCTTCTCTACCCCTCCACCCCCCATAGTAGGCTGCAAATGCTGCCCTACCTCTTCAGGATGGCTGCAGTGGAGAGCCAATCCAATGTATGTAGCATCAAATTCTGCGCATTGTTTCCCACCGTAATAGAAATTTCAGTCCTTTAGCATAAACCTGCCAAATCAATACAACAAATAACATCTCAGCCTTCTTGATTTCAGGGCCAGCCACACATTTGAGACCTGATGGTATCTAATTTTTCATAGGTGCATGTTCTAAATAAGAAAATGATGTATTCCCTAAGGCCTGTGCATGCCTGTAATGTGGGTTGATAAATGAGCCTCTGGAGAGAGATTAGAAAATTAGAAATTTTTGCCTGCTGTGAGCAATCTATTAATGAATGACAAGCATCTATAAAAGTGTTTGTACCCTTTACCCTGGTATTTTGCCTTTGGAGGATCGTGTTGGAAAAATAGGCTTGTTAATGTCTCAGGGAGTAAAATGGACCTAATTTTTCTGTGTTTGCAGCACCTGAGATGTTCAACTCCAGAGGAGAAGCAGGCTATTCCTTCGCTGTTGACTGGTGGTCCCTGGGAGTGACAGCGTATGAGCTGCTGAGAGGCCGGGTACTGTAGAATTGCATTTCTTTGGTTATTCGTCCAGCAAGTTGCAGTTTTAGAATGAAAAAAATATGTTTTTGTTTTTGTTTTTGTTTTTTTTTTTGCTAAAAATCAAGCAGTTTGAGAGGTGAAAGCCACTATGCCATGTGGTGCTGATAACGACCTTGGGATTTCTGCACACATTCATTCACTCTCCTACATATGGAACCGAGCATGCGAGTTCACATGAAATTATGCAGATAAAATTAAATGACTGATGTGGAGATTATAACGTCTCGGAGAGAGGAAATCAATACGCCTCACTAAATATCTTGTGTAAATATATTTGTTTGTTTAAAACAAAGCATTTTGCAGTCACAGTACAGGACTCTGATTCAGACACACTTCTCCAACACAGTTCATGCTCTGTCTTGTGGGATACCTGCTTGTCATGTGGCTCCCAAGTTCTGGGTTCAGTGGCAAATTAGTTTCCTTTGAAAAGAAACATTTATTTTTTATAGGCAAGGCAACCCTTGGTTGACCTCACAGATTGCAAGGACCTTGTCAGTTTACAATCCTTATTTTTTATTTCATTTTTTACCCCTACAGCACCTGGTCTTCCTAGGTGGTCTCCTATCCACGTACTAACCAGGCCCGACCCTGCTTAGCTTTCGAGAAAAAGAAACATTTCTTAAACTAAGAAAATACCTAGGAAGAATTTTGCCGAGAAAATACTTTTTTCTCCCTCCCACGTTATTTTACCTCTATGGTAGTTCCCTTGTCAGTCTTTTTTTTTTTTCCTTTGGACAAGTGAAGAGAAGTTACTATTAGGTTGCTGGATTTTACATATATATATTTAAGTTCTACTCTCAGCAAATTCTAGTTCTACAATACAGTGTTATCATCTTTAGTCACCATGTTTTACATTAGATCTTCAGACCTCATTCATGTTATAGCTGTAAGTTTGTATCCTTTTACCAACCTCTCCCTATTTTTCCCACTCCCAGCCCCTGGCAACATCTTCTCTTCTGTTTCTAGGGGTTTGACTTTTGTTTTATTTTAGATTCCACATGTAAGTGATACCATACAGTATTTGTCTTTCTCTGCCTTCAAGGTACTTTCATGTCACAAGCAGCATAATATATATATCATTACATTGTATATCAATATATATATGCAGCATATATATAGCATATATATAAATATATATAACATATTTATATACATGTAAATAAAACATATATAGAGAATAAATATATAAATTTTTATATATATATATAAGCATCTTCTTTATCCATTCATCTGTTGACAGATACTTAGGTTGTTTCCATGTCTTGGACTTTCATGTAAAAAAAAAAATTGCTGTTGCTCTCAATGCTTGCTTCTCTCTTACACACACACACACGTGCACACGTGCACGCACCCACGCGCACATGCGTGCACACACACACACACACCCTTTACAAACACAATCTTTAAATAGCTTGGCATTCTTTGCCCTTTAGAACCAGGTTAACTTTTCACGTTTGCTTCCATTTGCATGACCCTGACTCTTATGAACTCACTTTAGACTTCCTCTCCTCTCGAGGCATCTTGGGCTTTTTTACTTCTTATTCCTTTGCCTGTAGAGATGTTTCTGAAGCTAGGCCCTGGTCTTCTTAACAAATCACTCTGCAAATAAATTTGCGAACTGCTAGGCTGAGTTTGCATAAAGTTAAGCATGTATCTTAATTCCAGACTTTTCAGAGCCTTTATATCCAGCGTATGTTGATCGTTTCTGGAGAAGGACATGGTACTAGACTATCCCAAATTTCTCTGTGGGGAAGGCTTTCCTCCAGGTCTTTTCATATCTGAATCCTACTTATTCTTATAGCCCATGACAACATGGCACTTCTCTGAAGAGACTTTCTCTGATCTCTAGCTAAATTGATATGTATCTCTTCCAAATATATATGTACTTTATCTGCTTTATGACCCTTCTGAATTTAAAATTATTAGAAAATATAGAGAAGCACGAAAATGAAGGTAATATCAACCATATCCTCTAAGGCAAAGAAAATTCCTATTAAAAAACTAAACCCTCCTTTGACCTTCCAATCCCACCTTCTAGAATTCATAGTTTGCTTTTCTGTTCTTATTAGGATAATCTATTTTTCACATACACATTTATGCTTTATTGTTTCTGTAAAAACAGAATTATGCTTTATCTTTCTGTTGAAAATTTTTTTCACTTAAGATAAAATGTAGAACTTTCTATATCAAAACACCTAAATCTACTTTATTTTCTTTTTTTAGATTAAATTTATTTTGTAAATATAGTGACCTTGTAAATTTTTCCAGATGTATCAATTTTTGTGTTTTTATTTCTTTTATACTATTAGATTGTTAATTCATTCTTCTTTATCCATTCATCTTACATACTTTAGTATGTATCTTACATACTTTAGTAGTAGCCACAGTATTTAATTTTAGATAGGTACATAAATGCATGGTGAATGAATGGAGAAACAAGTCACTACAAGTCAATTCTGACTCATTCTAGGAGAGAATCACCATGTAGGCTGTATGTAACTATGTTTTAAAATATAGTTAATCTGAATAAATGAAATACCAATATCTAATTATAACTATCAATACGACTAAGCTATAGAAGAGTGTTAAACAATAATTTCTCCTCATTTACAAATTCTTACTTACAGAAAAATATGAGCCTCAAAGAGAAATGTGCTTGAAAACAATCACTGGGTTCTGAGCTTGATCATGGTCTTGATGAATGGGTCTCAATAGCTATTAACCTGTTTTGTCATCTCTGTCTCCCAGCTATCATTGCCATTGTAAAGACAAGGTCCATGTCATCTCTAGTTTTTATTATCCATATTAGCTTATGATAGAGACATACTTAGTTTTGCACTGTTTTGCACTAAGTACACTATTCTTTGCTTTTGTATTCTGAAATATGACTATAATCACAACACATCATTTTCTCCCATCTAACATTTTACCTTTTCCACTTCATTTATTCTTTATGTTCATCTTAATTTATATGCTCTCTCAGTACTGTTTGATATATCCTGTCATTGCACACCGTAATCTTTCTTTATAGTGTATATTTATTTGTGGTTTCCCTAAGTAAACTCTGGCCTCCACTAACAGAAGTCATTCTCTCTTGTACAATGCCCAGGAGAGGTGCTGGAACATGTGGAATATAGTAGGCATTTAATAAATATTTGGCAAATGAGTAAATCTATAATCCTAGTAGTTGATGAATTAACATGGATTTTTTTAAATTTTTAACTAGGAAAATAAGTTATATTGTATAAGACAAAGGCAATTTGACTTTTTAATAAGTTGACGGGCCATGAGGATTTTTGAAAAGTATTAAATTCAGTCATATGGCCTTCTAAAGTGAATGAACACACTCTTAAACCAATTGCTTGTGGCATCCATCAGTTAATTATTTGTTTATCAAATCATTTTGTGGTTTTAGATGGCTAAGAAACAGTAGGTTAAGCAGCAGCAATGAATCAAAGAATAAAATTAGGGGAAAAAATACATCTGCACACACATATAACCCTTTGAGTATGCCAGGCCTGACCCAACTCTTAATGGTAGACATTAAATGAATTACATGTAGAAACTCATGATGCCCTTCGGCTAGCAAATAGTCAATAAACACTGATGATGATGATGAGGTTCCTAGTACTCCTTTCCTGATATTGAGTTACATGGGTCATTTCCACTGTGTCTTTACTGAGACAAGTAAATTAGCTATGGTTCCTTATTTGGTCTCTAGGGAAGGCATATGTGGCAGGTATTTTTAAACCTTGCATAAAAGGTAAAGTTTGGCTAGTCTCCTTTTAGGGAGTCAACTGCTAGCACTTCAACATGCTATGTGTGGAGTTAAGCCTGTCTTCATATCATCTTTATTGATGACTCGCCTTGCTGTTCACTGTTCGCATTTATATCTATCCCTTTCTACCCTGTGTCAATAACAATAAAAATCTCTCTCTTCTGTACTGTGTCTAATATATCTTAGCCACTCTGTTGGGAACTTTACACATATTATGCCATTGAATTTTCCCAATAATCTCATGAGGTGTTTCAATTTACAGTTGAAGGAATTGGAACTCAAATTGAGTGACTCTGTTTAGCCCTCAAATTCTTTTGCCTTCAGAGCTCCAACACTTAATTATATTACCTTTTAATACCGATTTACGACAAGGGAAAAATTCAACTCCTCCATTTCTCCCAGTGTAGTTCATCAGTCCACAGTCATTGACTGAGCATCTCAGAAAGGCCAGGCAGATACTTAGTATATATTAACTGTCTTATTGTTGTTTAAAATGGAGATTTTTTTCATTCAAAAAACACGTAATGAGCACCTACTAGGTGGTAGGTCCCATGTACAAAACGTGAGTATGGTATATAATCTTTGGTTTTAAGTAGCTCACAGTTTTCATAAAAGAAATTCTAGCATTAATAATTCCTTTATGAAAGAGAGATTTACTGTAGGTAAAGACTGCCCTCTCGTGGACATTTGTGAAAACCGTAATAAAGTCATTTCGCTTTTTCCCACCCCTGAAATAAAAACCATTAAAGAACCTGGTTCTCTCAGGTGAAAATACATTTACCTCATAGTAAAACTTGCCACCGCACTCCATGGAACCAGGTACTCATAGCATTTGGTATGGAGTTGAAGTTTTCTGGCTAAATTTCTTTTCTGAACTTATTCGTTACGATTTAAATGAGTAAAAAGAGCTGTGTGGTAAAACTCTGGATCTCTTTATAATCAACACATAAATAACAACTTTTCAAAATTTCCATTTACTGAGCACTTGTCCAATACTTTATGTAAATACTTATATAATTTATCTTACAAAACAGTTCCAAATTGGCATCTCAGAGGTGAATTTAGGCCACAGAAACGTTTTGTTTGGCTCAGCAGAATTACCAACTTTTAAGAATTCTGAGATTTCACGGGACACTATAGATTTCTGGCACAATTTTTTTTAAGTATGTGATCTGGCCACACTGGGCCATATATGCATGTGGCAACACAACAACCAGCTGGAAGGAATAAGAAATGATACTGAGATTTTACTAGTTGAAAATTTAGCTTGGAAACATTTGCAAAGCAAAATTTTTTCTTTTACCCTATAAAATGAAAACTCTTCTTTTCTCCCTTAAGAGACCATATCATATTCGCTCCAGTACCTCCAGCAAGGAAATCGCACATATGTTTGAGACAGCTATTGTGACTTACCCTTCTGCCTGGTCACAGGAAATGGTGTCACTTCTTAAAAAGGTAAGAAGGACTGCATGACAAAAGTGATAAAAAGAAGCATGCTCTCTGATTTGAGATTAGAAGTTAGTTTACAATATTGGAGGCAGTCATCATAATATACATTTCTAGAGTGGAGTTTGTAGCTAACAGCTTTCAAATACATGACTTCATTAAGGCAACGCACATGTCCTCTGGTATGTCCCAAAGCCATCTCAAACTCAGTGTGCTCAAAATGGAGTTCTGAAAGTCTCTGTATTTCCTGGACTTTCTCCAATGTCCCCTCTCTCAGTGACTGTCCTCTCTATCCATCCACTTATGCAAGCCAGAAACCAGAAATCATTCATCATCCCCACATCCAAACCATCACCAAGTTCTGTAATTTGACCTTTTAAATATTTTTTGAATCTGTTACTTTCCTCCATCTCCACTGCTATCTTCCTAATCTTGTTGCCATCAAGTCTTGCTTAATACTGGTTTCCCCTTGTACACTTTTACACACTCCATCTGTTCTTCATTCTGCCCCATAGTGATCGGTTCAAAGCAAACTTCTTTGTCTTCCCATTGTTCTTCGAATAAAGATCAAAATAATTTGTACAGTGAAAAGGTTCTAACTACCTCTCAAACCCTATTTTTGACTTTTGTCCCCCTTTGGATTACGCATAAACTGCACTGACCTTTTTCTCTTCTCTCTCCCTCCATCCCTTCACCCTCGTCTATCAGGCTCTTACCACAAGCCCTTTGCACATGCTCGTTCAGCTGCCTAGAACATTGCCCCCTCCCAGCTCTTCCAGCTCCCTCCTTTAGACCAGTACTACTCAGTGTGGTTCACTGACTGGTTCAAGTCCATGAATTGTTTCTTACAGGCTCATGACAAGTATGGAAACTGAGAGAAATGTTTAGAAATTTTTATAGCAATTTGCTATTGCTGACGCCTCTAAGCATATGGTTAGTGGACTCATCTCACCGAACAGGGCACAAGCCTATTTGGTGATGTAGAATTCAAATCACTAATTGCACTGGTGTGGAGTCGCACGCTAGCCGTGCACAAGAACACCACGTACTGGTTTCAATGTGCTGGAAATGAAAACAAACAAGTGAACAAACGACTGGCCCCTCTACATAGTTTGAAAAGCACAGTTTTAGATCTCAAATATCACTTGGGAAGCCTCCCTCTGTTTTAAGCTTACGCCACACTATCATTCCATCATAGCATTTTGCACAAGTTGAAGTTATGCATTATGTGTGTGTGTGATTCTTGGATTAACGCTCATTGTCCTCTGAGCCTCATAAGGGAGGGACCACATCTGCTTTGTTCACCGTCGTTTCCCCCACATCAAACACAGAGCCTGACAGGTGGTAAACTTTGGTGTATGAATTAAGGAGGTCCATAACTTTCATCAGATTTTCAAAGTGCCCATGTTCCCCCCAAAAGATTCAGAATTACTGTAGCAGGAGCTCAATCGTATGTATTGAATGATTACATGAGAGGAAGAATGTGGAGCCCAAGAGGATGTGCTTGGCTTTTGTCAAAGAAAAAAAAAAAATGCCCAGGTGGTAGCTGGTCAAGGAAAAGAGGTTTGAGGACTAAGGATTCAAACCTGTATCTCCTGTCTACGGGCTGAGTTCCCTGTTTCGGAATAGGGACAGTCAAAGAAAAAAAAAAATGCCCAGGTGGCAGCTGGTCAAGGAAAAGAGGTTTGAGGACTAAGAATTCAAACCTGTATCTCCTGTCTACGGGCCGAGTTCCCTGTTTCGGAATAGGGACAGGGCCATCGGTAATGTCAAAATGAAGATTAGAGGGGTCATGTTCCAAAAGCAAATTTTCCTCAGTTCCAAGACAGCCCTCTCCACCCCAGAGTTGCACCCTGATGATCTCTGGCTGTCGCCTCCAGGACATTTCTCAGGTGGAACTGACATTTCCTGCCTGAGACAGAGGGTTGATGTGCTGTTGGCTCTGGAGTGGTTGAGGTGAAAAACACCTCTAATCCCAGTTCGTAAAACCCAGAACTTAACAGTAACCTAAGGTACATCTTATCTGCATCTCCCCCAGTATATTTTGATTAGCTGTAAAACAGCTGAAACGTTTAATGAGAAATGAATTTCGTTTGTAAAAACGGATGCACATTCGCTACCTATTAATAGCGGACCTTCTCTTAGGCACTTCGTGTACATGCCTCATCTAATTCTAGCTGCAACCTTATGAAATAGATTACTCTCACCTTTTTACAGATGGGTTTACACAAACTGAGATTTAGAAAACTTGCTCATAGTTAGGAAGTAGAGGAATCGTCAATCAAAGATATGTTCGACTCAGTAGGACAAGCTATTTTCACTCACTACATTGTGAAAACCAACTTACAATTCGTTCTAACCATGCATTGCGGCATTATCTGCTTATGCATGCAGTATCTGCATCATTTGTTTACAGGCTTAGGGAAGGGGAGCGCTGCCTTGTTTCTCTCACTCCTACACTTGAAAACATTCAGAGGGAATTAGTGTGTTTTCATTGCGCCCTGTTTTGACCTTCCTTGTGACCTTGCTGTTTGTATTCCATCGGCAGCTACTTGAACCTAATCCAGATCAACGGTTTTCCCACTTGTCCGACCTTCAGAGTTTCCCATATATGAATGACACGAACTGGGATGCGGTTCTGCAGAAGAGGCTCCCTCCAGGTTTCACTCCCAATGTGAGTCAATCCCAACAGGCCCGTACTAACTCCCATTCGGTGTGCGGTACGGTGTGTGCCAGATATACACGTGGTCTCATTAGATAAGCACACTGGTATTGTGAGGCAGCCCCAGCCCCTGTTGGCCACCAAAGGCCACACGGCTGGCAAGTGGTCAAGTTGAGATTCTAATCCAGGACTGTGTCTGGATTTGTAGCTTCTAACCACTTTTTGTGACATGCTTTTATCTGGAAAGAAGCCCCAGTCCTCCTAATACGTAAGCTCTCACTTAACATCGCCGATAGGGTCTGTGACTTTAAGAAAAACAACATGTAACGCAACCATGTGACCACAGGCCGACTGACACTAACAATTTTATAACGAACCGGAACGCCAAGGACCTGCTGTAGTCATTTCTAGGAATCTTCTCTTTGAGAAAAAACAATGCTTTCTCTGATTCCAAAGATGCAGAAACTCTGACCCATGGGGTTCCATGAGTCAAAGGGTTGCAAACCGTTGGGGTTGGCATGAGGTATTATTTTCACCATTCACCCCTCTTCCTCTGGTAGTTCTATGTCGGGAGCTACATTCATAACAATGAAAACGCCAAAGGGAAATAATCCCCACCGCATGGGTCCCTGGCCAAGGGGCATCTGTGGCGGGCTGCAAACCCCTGGAACACGCGGGAGTCCAGAAGCTGAGGCCTCGGGGCCCAAGCGAGGCCTGTAGCTCCCTCTCTCGCCCCACAGCCTGATTCTACACATTCACTTGTAGGCAGATTGGCAGAATAACGTTTTTAAGGGGGCTATAGAGACAACTCAGAGTTTCCTGTCCTTATTTCCAAGCCAGGCGCCTGCTGTGGGCCGGCGGGACTGTGACCCTTCCTGCGCAAACGGCAGGGACACACTCTATTGGGGTCGGGCGAAGTGCGCAGGGAGGGGAGGGAGAAGGCGCGCGCTGGGATTCTGGGGAACCAGCACTTTGCAGAGCAACAGGAGATTGGGGCCAAGGACTTACCCGGCCACCTTGCAGAATCCAGTAGAGGCCTCTGGTACCAGGGTTCCTATGTCGCCATGGAGATCTCGGCACCACCTCCTGCCGCTTCCGCTTGGAGGCGCTGCACCGCTGCAGCTAACATCGGTGCTGCCTTAGCCGCTCTGCGCACGTTCTCACCTCGTTGCGAATCCGAATCACCTGGGGGCTCGTGAAACGTGCGGTTTCCTCGTGTTCAGAAACACCGATTCGCGAACTCCAGCTGGGGAGCCGGGAATCCTCGGCCAGCATCAGGTGATGCTGATCTGCACGACCGTTAGAACACGCTCTGAGACACATAACCCCAAAACTCAAACTTCAGAAAAATAACTGTCATTTGATTTTCTTTCTAACTCACCGAAGGCTCATGGGAAGTTTAGAACAATAAATAAAATGTAAAATGAAAGAATGTGAAAAACCATGCTGGCAATACATTGTCCCAAACGTAGAGTGGGAGTCTTCAGCTTCTTATCCTTGGGCTGCTCCATTAAGACCAAGTGTGTTTCTCCGCCTTCGGCCTGGTGTATTTTTAGAATGATACAGGAATCTAAGGAGTGAGCTTACCTGTCTTCCTTGCAGAAAGGCAGGCTGAATTGTGACCCCACCTTTGAACTCGAGGAAATGATTTTGGAGTCCAAACCTCTTCACAAGAAAAAGAAGCGTCTGGCAAAGAAGGAGAAGGAGATGAGGAAATGCGATTCCTCTGAGGTGAGCAGGTCCCCGCCAAACTCAGGGTCAGTGGGAACTTCCAGGTGGCTGCCATTCGTGTGAGAGCTTCTGTTCCGAGGTCCTCACTTTGCCTTGGATGGTCACCCATCCACCCACACAGCCATTCATTCATCCTCTCACCTGCTCAACAAATAGCCGTCCATCCTTCCCTCCATCCATTTATTTAGGCTACTTTTGTAGAAAACCTATTATCTACCAGGCCCTATGTTAAGTACTGGAGATAGTTACGAGATAGAATTCCTGCATTCAAGGGCATCCCTGTTCTCAAAGATATAGTCTTGTGGTGAAGATAGCTCTGCAAGCAAATAAGTATCCTCAATGTCCTTAATTTCTCTAGTCCTCAGGGACCACTATACCCTTTAATTAATCAAAGTCCATATCCTGTTGGTCACAGAACTGGTCTCTTGCCAGATTCCCACCTTTAAGTGCTTTCAAGAGCCCTCCAAGGGACGCCCAGCTGTGCCACAAACTCATCTTGCTTGTTCTCTGTCACTTCGACCATCTTCCTCCTAATCATCTGCTGTTCATTTCATAACCAGCTGGCTTCTCCAGGCTTACTTTTCTCTATGTCCCTACAGAGCTTGCCTTAAGCTGGATGCAGACTCCTTGTAACAAGCCCCCAAATGTAGCAAAGGCCAAGAGATCATCTTTATTATACGTTTCCTCAGGTTTTAGAGAGAACAGCCGTATGTGAGTTAACTTTTTACCATGCCGGCCAGACCCTCCACGATCTGCCCGCCTTTCTCGCCCACTCCTGTACTATGCCCCTCACGACCCTCCAACCACACAGACCTGGCAAGTGTGTGAGCCTCAAGCACTGTACGTTTTGTTCTTCTTCAGGACCCTCGCTCTTGCCTTTTTCTGGAATGTTTCCTTAAATCTTCCCATAGGGGGCTTCCTTTCATCCTTTGCACCCTAAATACTACCTTGTCAAAGGTGAGGTTCCTTCGCCACACTCTCTTCCTTAGTCCTTATTTTTAAATTTCTTTGTGACATTAACATAGTTTATGAATGTTTCTATGTTTATTTGTGTTTCTTTTTGTATCACACGAAAATGAACCTTCTTGTGGGTGAAGATCAGGTCAGGCTTTCCCGCCACTGTCTTCGTGGCACTACACAGTGCCTGTAACGGAGCAGAGGCTCAATAGGTAGGAGGCTCAATACATTGAAAGGGAAGAAACTTTATAACTGGACAGTGGAAATGGTTACTGCTGTCCTTACAGTTCCAAGGTCAAGCTCCATCCATGGGACATCTTCCTAGGGTCCTCTCTTGTCTTCATCCTTCCCCACCCAGCCACCAGGTTGCAGTAGCAAGTGTCCCTCCCTTGACAGGAAAGGCTCTGAGCCACTTACACACAGTACAGACTCCCAACAATTTCTAATACCAAGCAAAAGAAAAAAGCAGTTTCCTCCTTCTCCCAGGTGTCATATCAAACTCAGAATCATTTACTAAGAAGTGGCTCTGGCCATGATAAAAACAGGCTTTTACATCGCTAATCGGAGAAGTTTACATCCTCTTGATTTTTTTTATTTTGTGTTTAACTTTTTTATTGCGGTAAAATATGTGTAACATAAAACTTGCCATTTTGACCATTTTTAAGTGTGCAATCCAGTGGCATTAAGTACATTCACAGTGTTGTGCAGCCATCACCAGTATTTTCAAAATTATTTATTACTCCAAACCCTATTTATTTTTTATTTCTTTCGGTAATGTGTTTTACTTTTCAGAGTACAAATATTGCACCTCCTTGGTTAAACTTTTTCTAGGAATTTTATTCTTTTGGTTACTATGGAAATGGAATTATTTTCTTAATTTTCGTGGATTATTAAGTACTGTTTATAGAACCATAACTGATTTTTTCTGTGTTGATTTTGTACACGGTAACTTTGCTGACGTGTTCGTTAGCTCTAGTAGCTTCTCATGGATTCTTCGGGATTTTTATATATAGGACCACGTCATCTGCAAATAAAGGCAGTTTCACTTCTTCCTTTCCAGTTGGATGCTTTCATTTCTTTTTCTTGCCTAATTGCTGTGGGTAGAGTCCCAGAACAATGTTGAACAGTGATGATGAAAGCAAGTGTCTTTGTTTTTTTTCCAATCTTAGGGAGAAAGATTTTCGTTTTTACCATTGAGAATGTTAGCTGTGGGTTTTTTGTAGATGAATTTATCATGTCATATTTACATAACATTTTATATATATATGTTTATGTAAATATTTTATATACATACATAGAAATATATTTATCATACATGTAACATGTATATAAATACATACATATATGTGCACATAAATATATAAACTCATATGTCTGTAAAATAAACATGCAAAATATATGAAAATAAAATTTTATGTAAATATGTTAAAATATGTAATATTTTGTTTATCTATTTTCGCATATATTTTATAGAATAATTTAGTGTTAAAAATGATTTTCCTAAAATCTTGACATAAAGCTTCTGCTCCAAGGAGCTGTCAGATTGTTTCTCCTGTATCTTCATGTCTCTCATGATACCAGAAACGTCGGGGTTACAAGTGCCCCCATTTGAGAATAAGAGTGAAGCACAGTGGTCTTTTTTCTCTCCTTTGTTTTGCTTCCTTTCCTGCTTCTTGAAATTTCCTCTCCTTTTGTAGTTTCCTCTCTTATCACTTAAATATTTTCCCAGGAAAGAAAGAACACTCTTCAGTACTTGAGGACTTAGTATTTTCTAATTCCTAGATTTAAAAAAAAAAAAAAAAGAATGAATGATATTTTTTCCTTAGAGAAAAATGTTTCTCATCAGGAGTGATTTGGAAGTTCTTGGTTGCAGACTTTTCAAACACTGGATCTGGGGTTGACGCTGTCCTGAGCCTGATGATCGTCATTTATTTTTTTAGGTTAAATTTTTCTCATGATGATGGAGAAGTCATCGATAGGTGTTGAAAGCCAGACAGTGAAATGTCAAAGCACATGTTTTTAATGACTGAAAGTCCCAAATAAAGACAGCTCTGCTCACTGCACCCTAACTCTATTTAGTCAACCCCAGCATAGCTGTCGAGGGGGGACATTCGATCAGAATTCAGTGTGGGGATGTTTCTAGGCTATTTATTAAATCCAAGTAGAGCCTCTAAACCTTTCATCTGAGGGACAGGAGATGAGAGGTGAGTAAGTAATTAGCTCAATAAACCTTTGTCGCCACCTGCCTTGAAGCCATGCTTTCTTCTCGGGCTGAATGGCTGGCTGAAAGACATCAAGCTCATAAGCCATAACTCAGGTGTTCCTTGCAGGCTCATTGTGGGGGAGCAGAGTGTTGGTGTACTTTATCCTCTTGCTGTTTCTTCCCTATCTGCTCCTCTATTATTTTAGCTGGGGTCTCACTCAGGCTAGCATCCATTTTGGAGATACATTGTACTTCTTCGATTTGGGCCATCCAGCGAATAGACGCTCAATCGGTTATTGGCTGTTTGAGGATCCTTGTTGGTCTGCTAACTATACTTCTATTTTTTATTTTCATTGTTCACCTGGAAGACATGCCTTCTTCAAGAGCACCTTGAATCTGTCCAAAAGGAGTTCATAATTTTTAACAGAGAAAAGTAAGTAGCTTCTGGAAGAACAGTCCAGCAAGAATGTAGTGTGTCAGCTAGACTTTACTTGCAAAACCTTGTGAATATGTTTATTAATATTTTAATTCAAACTACAAAAATGATGCATATCCATATTAGAACACATGAAAATTTCAGAAACCTTTTTTTTTCTTGCAAGAAATTTCAAAAATTGTAATAGGGGAATGAGCTTAGCATCAAGTTTCTGTTTCTAAGAAGGGCAGAGGAATTGGGAGAGAAATTGGGGACTTACACATTTAAAATCGGTGACGTCTTTAAGACAGTTTCATGCCTCTTTATAAATTGTTGGGCTTCATACTATCATTCCAAAATCTTAAATCTTTTTTTTTTCAGTGAATAAACCTTCTTCTTTTTTTTTCCTTTTAAGAGTGAAAAGGAACTTTAATACAAGACAAGCACCTCTAGCCTCGGAACAAACCAAAGACCCACAAGAAGAGGATGGCCAGAATAACAACCTGTGAAAGCCTCAACATCTTCTTCTTGGGACATTTCCTGGCACCTCAAACCAGGAACTGCGATTTCCACGTCAGGAAGAGCTGACAGTAGTTCTCGCCTCTCCACACCTCACACACCTTAGAAAATATGAGTGCACACCTTTGGAAGGGGGCGGCATGACACAGTGGAGAGTCCCCTGGGCTCCTGGGAGCTGGTTGCATCACTAATTAACCACGTGACCTTGAGCAAGTCACTTAACCGCTTTCTCTGCTTTGATTTATTCATCTAAAACGAGAGAGTTATACTAGATGAGCTCTACTCTGCCTTTTGACTGCTACCATTCTGTTATCCTAAAGAGCCTTGGTTTTTATTTCAAAAGGAATATTTGGATGTGGATTTATTTTTCCACTCCTTCATGACACTGTGACAAATAGACAAGTGGACATCGGTGGGTGATTGAGTGAGATTTTGGGGGGTGGTGATTGAGCCACGACACTTCATAGAGAGATCAGGATCCCCAAGCCCAACTGAACAGGGATAAGGAATTCGGTCAGGAGGAAATGAATGAGACCAGATTAGAAGTAGCATAGACTGACGACCTTCCAGTGGTATGCTGGAGTCTGCACGCCATATCCTATTGTCCCAGCTAGCGAGAGCCTGCTATGCACAGCTGTCCCAATGTCCTGTACAGTGATGTGAAGTTGGGAAGTTGAAATGGTAGTGATGGGAGAATTTACACCATGGAAATTGGCAAATGCTACAAATCAGGGCTTTCCCCCCTTCCCCACAAGCCAGCTGTTAAATATTTACTAGCACGCCACTTGCCTTCTTAATGTTTCTTAAGAGCTAATTGTCTTCCTAAAATTAGCAGAGACCTGTGTCTGGACAGGATCAGAAAAGAATACTGTCACATTAAAAGCATGTCCATCTTGTATAATGGAGTTTTAAACAGGAGTTATTGTCTAAGATAGAATGTGAGGCGAATTTGGATAGTAAAATGTACCCTTGAAAATCCCTTAAATTACCCATAACATATGCTGGGGATCTTAGTGGATCCCAGTACAGTGAGCCATCCTTCTACAATGAAACAAGGTTGCTGTTTTTGGTTCATCTTGATTTTGTTTTTACTTTTATTTTTGGTCTAATTTTTGGCTAGTTATCAGATGAACCAAAATGCTGTACAAATTATACATGCCTTTACAGACTAGAATTACATCAGAACCTTGGGATGCTCACGTCTGAGAGGCCTAAGGTCACAGAGATGAAAGGAAAAGCAGTATCATGTTTTACCACCTGTGTTCACTGCAAGAATGGTGGGCAGAATTGCCTCATTGTTAAAATATTATCGATGTCTGACTCTTTATTTACTTATTTGCCAAACACAAAGTTTAATTCATCTGAGATGTACATGTGATGTATCTCCACTCTTCTGATAACATAAATTTTTGCAGAGGAACTATTTTGGGGAACCTACAGATTCCACTGGTTAGAGTCAAGAAGTGAATAGTCTTGGTGGGGAACAGTTTTAACCCCTCGGCCACTCGGATCACCTAAACCTTGTCCTTACTTATAGAGCGTATGAGCCTCACCAAGATGGCGGCAAGCTGGCAACAAGAGAGATCTGACCGAGCCGTTTGGGAAACCAGACAGATGGAAATCGGCAGAAGTGAGAGATATGGCTACCTGTTACACTTGACTTTTCCAGGAGGAAGTTTGCGTTAGGGCACGTCAGCTTGGGTAGGACGCCAGCGCTGGATTTTAACTCAGCATTCACAGTTGTCTCTTCACTAAGCCAGTAGGCCCAGAACTTCTGGCAGAGCTGTGAAACAGTGCCTCTCTGCTTTAAAGAGCAACCTTATTTTTGTTAAAAATTAAAGCCAGCTCTTTTGCTCTGTTTGATTCCTTTTCTCTACATTTGCCACACAGTGTCTATGCTGTTTTTTCTCCACTCTTCTTATAACATAAATTCTGATAACGTAACTATAAATTCTAAGTGTTGGCCCTCAGTTTCACAGAGTGGGTAGGTCCACAAGAACGAAAAGAAGGTGGCCGGATTCTGCTCCAGGCTAGTAACCAGGAGTGTCAGGGGCCACTTGCATGTTTACCAACTTCCATCTTTCATTTGTTTGTGATTTAAGGCCTGATGTGCTGTGAGCTTATCTCCCTACCCACTGGTTCCTCCTCTTGCTATGACCTCGTAGGTGTCATCCCAAAGGAGGGACTTTGGGTGATTTAAGGCCTGATGTGCTGTGAGCTTATCTCCCACTGGTTCCTCCTCTTGCTATGACCTTGTAGGTGTCATCCCAAAGGAGGGACTTTGGAAAACACCAAGGGGCAATGGAATTGGTAGGCTCGTCATTGGGATGGGGGAGCTGATCATTTGTGCCATTTCACGTCTATACGATTTGTAATGGGATAGGAACCCAATGTAGTTTGGAGCCCGAGTTTTTATTTCCAGTGAGCCACTTCTGTGCCTGAAGTGCTTCTGTGGGCATTCAAGAACCATGGACGCACTGAGTAGAGAGAGAGCATAACCTCAGGTAAGACAGGTTTCCAGTCCCAGTTAGAAAAGAAAAAGCAATACATCCATCGGTGTAGAACATCTGATTTTAAACATTACCCACCAGCATATATTTTTAATATTAGGACAAAAAAGTCTTAAAAAAATAAATAAATAAAAGGATGCCTACATCCTTGCCATGGTTGCTCGTTGTTGAAATTAGATCCTTTCATTTTATTCATAATGTGGACTAAAAGTTACTATCCTACTGGGTGGAACATATCTAGATTTGTGACAAACAAGGCTCAGGGCTAAGAATTTTAGAAAACGGTGACTATTGAATTTTGTGTGTGTGTGTCTGGTATTCCTGGAATCCTTACCTGTGTGGAGAGTCTAAAAAGTCTGAGCTGGTTTTGAAGACCAGACACCTCCTGGTTAGAACACTCTAGCACTACTGCAGGGCCGCCTGCCCCAGTGCGTCCACAGCGCCCTCTAGAGGATGGGCAGGGCAGCCCAGCCCTGCAACCCTGGCCACAACCCTAACTTGAAGGTAAATGCTCTGCTCACGGCCAACACACCTCCATGGCAGCACTGGTTTTGCCTAAGGTCGTTGATAGGGCAATGTCGAATAGCATGGAGCACTGCTAAATTAATTAGGATGAGTTAAGCTTCTTCTAATAGGAAAGTTTTAACCAGAAATGAATAGATTTTACATCCTCATAGCTTTTCTATATTGGATGGACAAATAACTGTGGAGAAAGAATGGTGGCCAGCAGGGACCAGTGTGGCTGCTTTGGGCTGATGCAGTAACTCTAAGGCTTCAAATCTTCAAAAGCTGAATTAAAGGCATGCAAATCATAGTGAGTTTCAGTATCCAGTTGTCCTTGCATTATGTCTGCACAAAATCCTGTTTCCAACTCTGCCTGTGATTACTGTTTCTTACACGCTCACTGTGTCTGGTAGTAAATATTGACGTTAAAACTCCAAACTCGTTGTCTGTGCTGTTGTGGACAGCCCTTGGATGGGAAACACACACTTCTGTTCAGCTCTAGCAACTGTAAATATGCTGCATGTATTAAAATGTTTCCTGTATTCAGTAAGACGCTGACCCTTCTTTGTCAGCTGTGTGTGTGTGTGTGTGTGTGTGTGTGTGTGTGTGTGTGTAATGGTTTTCTCAAGAGGAAGGGTGGAGGATGCCCACCCTTCCTCTTGAGATCACCTGTTCTTACTTCCATTTTCTGCTATGAGAAATGTCCTTTACCGAAGAAACTGGTGATAGAGATGGTATTCTATAAACTAATCCCCATGCAGAAAAACCAAATACCTGACCCCTCTCTAACATTCATACCTCAGGGAACACAACCCAGAATTCCAGATTTTGCTTTCCACTATGACCTGACGTCCACGGATGGCCCGGGGACTTCTTTTTCAGCACTCTGCTCTCCTACCCCTCAGCATCTTTTTCCTGTCCCATTTCCTACATCAAAGCAGCAGGTGGATGTTCATAGGGATAGAAGAGGAATAGCAGCTCTGAACTCTTGCAACTAGAAGCAATTTCTGCCTTAGAGAATAAAGGGACCTTTCAACTACCTTCTGGACTCACAATAGCTCAGCAGCCAGTGGGCCAGCTGGTTCCCCAGGCTTGTCCTGCTATTGGCTCTTGTAAGTCTCATGGGCTCTAAAGTCCTGTGTGTTCCGTGTCTGTTGTCAGGTCATGTTAAATGTCTGTCATGTTCTCAGCGGTCACTTGAGCACAGCACAGGGTTCTAGACCTCTTTCGATTCTAGAGTGCCAGCCTTCAGGGGTCTCAGTTTTGCAGTTTGCTTTGGCCCTTTCACACCCCACTTCCTTCTCGTAGTTAGTAGTCCCTTTATGATGGCTTGATGGTACCAGAGCCAATTCCAGAAAGTTCTTTGAAACCAGAGAAATCCTGTTATTCTTATCCAGTGTTCTCATCTCCACCCAGTCCATGTGACTCAGCCCAGAATAATACATCCAGTTAGTCAGTGTGTGAATTTCACTAATATTTTTAAAAAACTGCTTCATCTCTTTTAGAGACCTGTAACCTGAGTTCACTTTGAACCCCCACTAATCCTCGCCGAAGCTCAGTTCCTGCCTTGGCCATGAGCAGGAAGAATTATTTCCCAATACTGAGTTTGAGACAGAAAATGGGACTTTGGGATAAAGTTCATAAACTCTCAAACCTTGACTCTCAAGCTGAAATAATTATGTGCTCAGAGTAGCTTTTAATATGGTTCCTGAGCTTCTGTGCCGAAAGGCTTCACCACTGAGCTCCTGCACTGACAGCATTGTTCTGCCAAACCAAGAGGGGTTCATCACACGTAAAAGCAATTCATCAGGCATTTCCATCCCCAGGTCTCCTTCTCCACCTGCCCCAATGTAAACACAGACACTTTGCTGAGCAAAACATTCATGTCCTACAGGCTTGAGAATGGCGCCATCTGCTGGATTTACCTACCCGGCAGCCATCCCCTAGTCCTCTGGTATCAAAAATTGATTTTCTTTTGAGTTGCTAAATTTCTTTTGTAGTTCAGGTGGCTCAAGGGCCGGGCATGTGACCAGGTGTGGCCAGTGCACAGTGACTCCCAGGCACAGTGACTAGTTCAATGGTGAAAACACATGACCTGAGCCGGACCAATCAGAATCGATCTCTTAGGCTAGACCTATTGAGGGAGCCTTTCTTCTTCCCCTGAACTTGGTAGGCAGGTATGATGAAAACCTGGAGAGCTAGTTTTGCTCTCACATGGAAAGCGCTTTCCTAAAAAGGAAACATCGACAAAAGGCAAACAGGGCTTAGAGACAAAAAACAAAACAAAACAAAACAACATTCTCGATCCACCTCTGCTTGAATGTATGTACCCAAACCTATCCTTGAAGTTTTCAGTTATACCAACTTTTAAAAAAACCTTCAAGTTTCTTTTTGCATACACTAGTCTAGCACTCGAAATGAAACATGTCCTACATAAATTGTAATTGGACCCAGAAGCGTTTCTCCACAAAAGTTTAACACATTTAGTGGAATATTAGAAAATGATATATGGTCAAAAATAGTATGAGAACCTTGAACTAGACAAATTTTGAAAGACACAGTATTTCTCAGAGTCTTGACCTTGATGATATGTATATTAAATATCTCAGAGGCATAGACATACTAAATAATCCTTTCCCTTTCCAACACTCATGATTCTTGTTGGGACCAGTTTGCTAAAGAATATACTTTGGAACATGCTTAGTTTGAGTTTTCTCAAAGTCCAGGCTTAGGAAGGAGCAATGCTTAAGGGGATGACAAATGACAATGACAACCACAACACAACTTAGGATCTGTTTAGGACTCACCTAGATTTAATCCCAAACGGCAATGCCTTTTACACTAATACTGAATTCGATGATACATAGATAAAACTTTGGTCATTCCCCAAAGTTTCAATAATGGTCATCAAACTCGGTGGCCAAACAGAAACTCAACCTTAACTGAAAAGACAGAAACTCCCCCAATTTTTTCAGGATAACTCTGTTTTCATCAGCTCTGCCCTCCTTCCTATGTCAGTTTTACTGTCCAATTTTAACACTTAAGGTGAAAAGGCATGTCACACACAGAAGGAAACTCAACGACATCTGTGATTTCATAGTTATTTTAATAACCAGGTTTACATTAACAGTCACTTAATGAACTTTTTTTTTTTTTTTTTTTTTTTTAATCTTAGCTAAACTCAAAACACAGTTTTCTTCACGGTTCAAACCAAACAGCTCTTCACATTCCAGAGCTGCCCCACAGCTACCACAGATCACAGGGACATTTACTGTCTGTTCATAGTCACCAGACACAGAACTGAACACACACACGCCATTTTCCAAAGAGGGAACTTACACCGAATGCTGGCTGCCTGGACGGCCCATGTGTCCCTCTGGGGCTCGAGCTGGAGCTTTCCAGGGGAGAAGGCCTGGAAAGCTTGTGGGACTCTCGTCACCCTATTGGGAAGGGCTTCTCAGGGTGAGCGGAAAGTCCAGACTTAGGATTGAGGCCCTTGGGACAGAGCGTGACTCTCTGGGTGTAGTCACAAGGAAAAAGCTCAACGGATGACTGGACTCTGAAGAAAATGTATTTTTGGGATGATTCTGACATTTCCGTTTTTAGAAAATTTAGAAGAAATATCTCCATTGGGGTGGCTGATTTAACAGTTCCAGATCCCTTCTCAACTACCCAACTACCCAAGACTGTGGCCTTCCCAGACAGCACCCTCGTTGATTGCCATGTGGGTTTAGAAACAACGTGAGAAGCTTGGCAAGGTGTGGCATCCTTAGAGAGGGGCCGAGACATGAGACAGCAAAAGGGAGCTTAGGAGGAAGACAGAAGACCCAGCGCACCCTCCCATAGCTGGATGAGGTGCCAGTGAATTCTGAGACGCCCAAGATTTGCTGTTAGGTTCTCTTCCGGAACCCTGCGTGGGGCTCTTCGATGTGTCTTATGGAACAGGACAAATTTGAATAGAAATTTTAACTTAAGGAGCAAGAAACCAGAAATCGAAGTCAAGAAAATAGTGGGAGTGTTCTTGGAATTCTCAGGAATTTCTATGCTTGGAAAGTTACTAATAGTAAGTAAAGAAAGGGAGGCCCTGTCAGGTCATGCTGCTGCCTATCACCAAGGCCTTAGGAAGCTGTTTTCTACAGCATGGAACGTGTCGGTAGAATATAACGTTCTGGATGAATGTTTCATTCAGAAGTCCCAAATGCAACCAACTGGGCCATGGCACAGGAAAAGTCATGAAGGGATGGGTTGGACGCAGCGGCTGGTAACAGTTGCCAGTGGTACATCAGTGGGCACTCCGACTATTTACGTGTCTTTTCCTCCATCTGGTGGTTATGGCTGGTACTGCAACATATTCTAACGCATAGCCCAGCCACTGAGGTATATAGAATATGCTTCCCAAATGACAAGCTCCGTCTGCAAAACTGTCACTCCCAGACTGCAATAGGCCCCCACATCTGTGAGTTATAAACCAAGAAGTACAGTCACCCTTCGTTTAAGTTTCTTTAGAATAAAGGCACCATGAAAAAGCCCTAAAAGTAGCAAGATTCCTTCTTTTGATAGGAAATAATCTCTTTCATGATTAAAACAAAAATTAGCTTGCTAAGGGAGATCCTATTCCTTGGCTATTTTCAAATGCCTCATTGGCCACGTATTCCCTTTTCTCTGGCCCTCAACATAAAACCTTCAGTAAAAGATACCGGTTTCTCCTGAAAACCTGAATGGTGTTTGGGGGAGAAACACCTGTTCTTCTCTTCAAAGTACTTAGTACACAGGGGTGTGGATTCCGCCAGCTGGATCACCCAACACGGAAGTTTGATCCCAGGTTGAATTGAATTTTCCTGCGTATGGGCCTCTTAGTTCTATAGATCTGATCTGGCTCAAAGAACTTGCTCTAAAATTGAATTTTTCAGAAGCGGCAGAATAAGGACATGGACATTCAGCTCTGACAGACAAGGCAGAGGCAAATGCTCTTCGCTAACTACCTTTCTGTGCCATGTCTCAAAGGCTGCATGTGACTGCCACCGCTTTGGGAGACTTTGGTACCAAAACGAACGTTCCCCCAAAGGCTGTGCTAGCAGAAGGAGAAACAGATGGCTCAGGACTGAAAACTAGAACCTTGGCCACAGAACGTGCTGCCTCTGCTCCAGACAAGCTTTCCCAAACCCCTGCCTGACTCCCCTATAAGCTGAGATGACCTATTTGCACTAAAAGTTAAGGAACACGTAAGAAAAGAAAATTCTGACAACAACAAAAATCCCGTCATGGCTGCACCCGGATCTCAGGAGATCCAGAGTCACTCTCTCACCACCGGCCCCATCCCAGCTCCACTCCTAACTCCGGGATGCCAGAAGCACGCTGTTCTTCCGGCTTTGCAAAGACAGATGAATGAAAGGTGATCTCCAACACGTGTTCGGAGGGAGGTGTTATTTAAGTGCGGCTGCCCTGCCCCACCCTGAGGGCCTGTGCTGTGCTCCCAGCTGTTGCCTTTTTAAGAGCACCAAAGAGACGGGAAGGCAAGAGAAGGGTCTTTCCTCTCTCCTCTCTTCCTTCCCAGCTCGAGAAAGAGAAGAATTTGAAAGCACCACTGAGAAAGAGGCCCGACCAAACACTGGCACGACCAAGTGGGTGGAAGCAATGATTGGGTTTTGGTGTTTTAATAAAACGTTCAAAAGAATAAAATCTATGAAGAGAGGACGTGACAAAGTCCGGAACCTAAAGACCACCTGCCTTCTCTGCAGACCCCAGGGGACTGTGATGAAGTGACAGCTGCCCCAAGGGGCCATCTTCCATGGAAATAAATGTACTTCATTAACACAATACACAAGACCCCCTTAAGCTCACCCACCCACCCCCTGCCCCGCTTACATACCCTACCCCAGCCCCGCTGAACCCTCCATCTTGCTCTGGGCTCCCACCACCCACTCACCCCAAATAACTGTGTCCCTTTTGTTCATTTTCCTGACATCCAGCTTTGTCTGTCCCCTTGTCTTAAGATGCAGCACTACACACGCTCTCAACACTATATAGCAGACTCTTTTACCTTAGTGGCCTGATTGCATGCATGCAAATGGGGGGGAGGAGTCAACCAAATCAAGGCTAGGCACAGACAGAAAACAAAGCAATTTTCGTAAAGCTAGGCAAGCGAGCGTAACATTGGAGAAACATAAGGCTTGAGGCTTATTGATTCTTTAGATCGCAACTGTTTTCGCTTTCCTTCTTAAATATCGGTGTACCATTTTGGCTTCAAAAAATCTCTTGCTGCTTCTGCCCCTCTTTGGGAAGGGGTGGCTTAACTCAGAGATGTGATGTTAGAACGGCCTCCAGGGGGCGCCACGATGCGCTTGCTGGCGGAGCGGACCCCTTCGTCCACTTGGGTTCCTGCCGTGGGCAATCAATTCCCAGGGAGACAAGAGAGAAACTGGATTAATTTTAAGACTTTAAGATATTACGTGCTTTTCTGCCCTCATCTCCCAAGAAACTTCCATTCTAGTCTGTCAGGTATTCTAGACTTTTCATACCCACCCTCTAGAAAAATCTCCGTCTGCCAGGTGAAGCCAGGTTCTTATCTAGATGTCATTGGACCCTCAGCATCATGACACGGATAATAAACAGAACAATGGGGGTGATAAGAAAAATAGCTGCTTACATTCACCATAACAAGCCATATTTTAAGTGTTCCTCAGATTATCTCACTCAGTCCTCACCAGTATCCTGAGAAAGAGGTACTGCCATTAGCCCATGGGCAGAGGAAGTGACGGAGACTATCAGGGGTTAGGCACGGTGACGGAGTGGTGACGGACGGGCCCCGCAGCCCCAGCACGAAAGGAAGCATCGACGTGCCTTATGGCCACTCAGAAAGGAGCTGCTAAAAGCTTAGGGGTTAGGGTAGCTGGGGAGCAATAGAAAATGGCAAAAATTCTGACAAAAATTTCTGCAACTAGCATAATGGGACCTCTGGCCACAACGCCTCAAAACTTCTAGGCTTTTCCTTTTGCCTTCCTCCCCTAGGTATGTCTCCCTACCTGGTTTATTCCCTGTTGTCCTGTTTCTCCCATTCTTTACTCCCCATCAACCAAATCAAGGCTAATCTAGGCAGACTCGGTGATCATTTACACTTGATCCTTAACCTGACTGAGCGGTATCTCGCTATCCCAATGGGACCTCTTTTTAATTCAGCAAACCTTCCAGCTTGTCAACTAACCACCACCCTAAAAGTGGGCCAGGATCACCCGCCAGACTCTGAGCCCTGCTCTTCCCCTTTCCCACTCACGGTCACCCTCAGCTTATCTGGCTCACCCGACAGGCTGAATCCGGACTGGTGGAGGTTCCTCACGGGCGGGTTCGGCCGCGTGGGAGAGCCCCGCGTGGAGCCCGCCGGGGTGCCCGCCTTGGGCGTGGTGGTCAGGTCGAACACGGGCCCATCGTACATGCCCCTCGGGACCGCGTGCAGGTCTGCCATCTGCGGCAGAGAAAGGGCGTCACCAAGTATTCCCGCAATAATGACGGGTCTGCTCTAGGTAGCACAAATATATGAGCGAACTAAGCGTGTGTAGTGGAGCCAGATAATAACAATATTATTTTAAGGGAAGGAGACATAGTGTCAAATAAAGTGGAGTGTCACAATAGAGTGATGATGAAGGAGGCTGGTGAAGGTCTCTCTAAATAGGTGACCCTTGATCTTAAAGGAGCTTGTTATGGGGCCGGGGTTGAGAGAGGAGGCCTCGAGATACAGGGGGGTGGTGTGGCTGGCAGCGTTCCCTGCAGAGGAAACCCATGGTAGAAATGTTAGGGAATGGAAGAAGCGCCTGCACAGCCGGAGCAGAGTGGGTGGGAAGGGCGGTAGGGTGAGATGAGATGCCCTGGGAGCTCCATCCTCAGGCTCCTCGGCACAGATCAGAGTCACCAGGCCTCGGAATGAGCCTCCCGGCCTGATCCCCTGACCTCTGGCTATGGCTGTGAACTTGGCTTGGGACTGTGGAGCCAGCCAGTAATAGCATTCGAGGGATGCTCTGGGCTAGGCCTGGTGCCAGGCCCTGGGGCTTATGGTCCCATGAAACATGATGACTCCCCAAAGGGGCTCCTGGTCTTTTAGACAAACACTGCAAGACCACCCAGTGGGTACAGCGGTACCCATTAGAGCTGAGGCGATGAGGGCACAACGCTGGAGCAGCCTGACAGCACAGGACATCTGCCACAGAGGCTTCCTTCTCCTCTGCTAGTGACTCAGGTGCAGGCAGAGAAGCCAAGCTCATCAAATTTGCAGATGCTAATGATCCACGTGGGATGACGGCCATATCTGTACTCCCCCCAAAACCTTGACCCACAATTCCAGATCATTGCCATTTCTTTAGGTCCAGATTCTAAGTCATGTTCATGGAAATAAAGAACTGATATATGGGAAGTTTGAGATTGATTTCCTTCTCTCTTAGGCCAAAACTTGAGTGTGGAATTTTGCTCCACACTATCCAACTTTAAAATGACCACTAATAAAGAGATAAGAATAGTGAAAGGACTTAAAACATTGTCATAAAATAAACAGTGGACGGCTACAGGGATGTTTAGACTAAGGGACAGATGGCTCTGGAAACACGCAGATGCTCTAAGAGGCAGGTTGAGCTTGTTCCATGCAGGTGCTGGGAGCAGAACAGACCTGATTGGTTGACTTTAGGGAGGTCGATTTCAGCCCAGCAGAAGGAAGTATATTCTCACAGGCAGAGCTGGTCAGCTACCTCATGAGATGGGGAGACTCTCTGTGTTGCAAATGTCCACACGGAGGCCGGACCACCTGTTACTGGGATCACTGGGGGTCTGGGAGTGGGGTGGGCACTCGGGTATTGAGTTTATATGAGCCTCTCTCTAATGGACATCATGATGTTTGCCTAGATTCCTGTCCCCAACCTCCAACATGTCATCACCACTGAAGACTCGTTCTCTCAGCTCCTGGGCGTGTTGGCAGCAGACGGTTCACAGCTGAGTCCTTCTCAAGAATGGCCCTCAGCTGAAGAGAGCCACCTTGCCAAGGAACAGCCCACATCCCATGGCTAGTTGGTAGGCTGGGGCTGGGGCTGCAGGGAGTGCATATAAAGGCCCAGACCCTTTTCAAGGACCAGCCTAGATGGGGATGAGCCGAGGCCTTTGTTACAGCTGCATTCCAGTCCATATTCTCCCTCTGCCCCATCCTGCTTCCGACATTGTGCCACAAGGGCAGATCCTGAGAGCAATCCCCAGGAAACTGCCTACTTGAAAATCTCTCTCCCAGAGCCTGTTTCCCAGGGAAACTGCTCTGAGACACTCAGTCTCCCCCTGACCTGCAGGAAGGCAGGGGGGATGGCTGTGGGTGGTCCAGGTGAAGGCAGGCAGGACTGCTTCCCCTGCATGGGCCCACAGTGACTTGCAGAGTGAGCCCCCTCCTCCTCTCCCCACCAGCTCCTCCATCCCACGTGCATGGATGACTGTGTCTCTTCTAACAGAGGAAGTCAGAAGCACGGTTCAAATTCCAGGATCCCAGGGCTGGTCTAACCCTACTTTGTGGAGCCCTAAGCTTACCTGAAAGTGACTTGGAGATTATGTGGGGGTAGGAAGGAAAGCTGAAGAGACGGAGTTCTGAGCCTCCCCCTAAATCAACTAGAGCTGTTTGGTTTGTAATATGTAGGTAGGTAGGTGGGTAGATATACATGTGTGTGTTAAACTGTCTGTCATAAATAAGATTTTATTTGAACCACAGAACTAGCTGAGTTAGAAGCATTTGCCCTTGTGGAGCAAACTGGATAGGATGAAAAAGGGAGGTGTGGGTGTGGATTGCTGGTCCTCACAGTACACCTTAAAGAGTAATTTATTTTTTAAAAATATTCACTGACAGTATTTTGAATTATTACAATTTTAAATTATTTTAAAGGAAAGCGATACAAAAATGGGAAAATATCACCTGCAAGAAACTTTCTTAGGTCCAAAAAGGTTTTGAAACCCCTTTTTATGTACATGAAATATTTGATTGTCCTTTGGGGAGAGATCATTGCCGTGAACTTCTTTGGGAGAGTCGGGAGCACACAGATCCCTCCCGACCCATGGTTACTATTCCTATGCCAGACAGGACACAAACCCTGTCCCCCGACCCCTGGCTCTGGGGCTTCTCACCTTCCTCCTGGCTTTTATGCGCTTGTAGACATAGTCGGAGAAGGGGCTGCAGGGGATGAAGCGGCCAGCCCCCTGGGTCACGTGCAGGCCGCCATCTTCCAGCATGATCTTGCCCTGACAGATGACCACCAGAGGGGCTCCACGCAGCTCCATCCCTTCAAAGATGTTGTACTCTGCAGCCTAGAGATGGGGTGAGGGGCAAAGCCACGGGCATGGGCATGGGCATGGGCATGGGCATGGGGCAGGGAGAAAGAGGAACGCCTTCTCACGTGCTTGGGATCCTGCCTTCAGTGTTACTAGAACTGACTTGCCAGCAAGCTGGGAAAAGCTTACAATGCATCCGCAAGCTTTCAGTGGGTAGAGGCCCCGGGGATAGATGCTCGCTAAGTAAAGGCTGGAATTCCTAGCAAAGAGAAGCATCCAGTCTTTAGTGAGGTCACCTATGGAAGTAAATATTGTCACTGGAAGTGTTCAAGGAGAAGCTGGATAACTAGCAGGACTTACATCCCCGCCAACCCGAAATTAAATAATGACATGACACAATGTTTAAGCAAAGTCCATCCCCACTAAAAAAATGGGATTTCTTCCTACTTCCTTAGTCACTCAACAAATGAGAAGCATCAATGCAAAAAGGTTAAGGGCATCAGTCTGGAGTCAGGTTGTCTGGGTTTGATTCCAAGCTTCACTATTTCCTTGCTGCCCCAATTATTTAATCTCTCTGTACCTCAATTTCCTTTAAAATAGGGGCTACTTGTGGAAGACTGTTATAGAGATTGAATGAATTAAAAGCATAATGCCTGAAACTTAAGTGCTTAGAAAATATTAACTATCTTTACTCACGAGTATGAACTCCCTGTCTGTTAGGTACTGTGCTTTATTATCTTCCACCTGAAACTCAGGAGGAATTCTGATTTTTTTCCCATTCTCTTTCCTTCTTGGCACAAGTTACCAATAGCACTCCTTGCCCTTCTGGAGGAAGGTATGACCACGGGACTGGCTTTGGCCAATGTGGCGTGAGAGGAAGCAATGTCTTAAAACAGCTTTCAGAGTCAGTATACCACTTCCCATGTCCTGCCCCGCAACAGCTCCACCTCAGCAATCGTGGAAGCGTGTGTAGAGATGAGACCTCTATCAGCCTCCATCCTGAGTGACAATGATGGGCAGAGCCCCTCTGCTGACCCATTTTAGAAAACATGAGTGAGAAATACACTGTTAAGGCTTTAAGTCACTGAGAACTGGGGTTATTGCAGCACATCCTAGTCTAAGCACGCTGGTACACCACATGCACACAACTCCCCTGACCGAGCTCCTTGCGTGCATTCTCCACCCTGCCCCACTCCCACCAGCCCCAGCCTTACCGACTGGTGGTTCTTGGCGGACACAATCTTTACTGCATCTGGATCCCAGATCACCAGGTCACTGTCAGAACCCACAGATATTCTTCCCTTGCGGGGATACAGGTTGAAGATCTTGGCAGCATTCGTGCTAGTCACGGCCACGAACTGGTTTTCATCCATTTTCCCGGTGGCCTATTGAAATAAATACACTTTTTAAAAAATTTGTCAATGCAGGGCTTCTGAGCTCAGGGTCAGGTGACCACAATGGCTCAAAAATATAAAGAAGGGCTTCTAAGGTTGTGAGCACAGAACCCATCCAGCAAACTTCAGAATCAGCTGGGTGTCATGGTCACCCAGGCAAAATGGTTAAAATCATGGTTTAAGATGGAAGTTACTGTTCCTGAAGTGTGCATTTTTTCTGGTTACTTTTACCCCTTCTAATTCCAAAAAGGATTATAGAGAGTTCACAGTAAAAAACAAATGTGATGATGAGCTCATTTTTCAGATATGTGTTTGTATTCACATGGGCATAGGATAAACATGGAAAAACCTCATCCAAAGGATAACAATGGTTATCCCTGGGGTGTGGAACTATGAGTAATTTTTATTTTCTTTTGTGTGTGTGTTTTTTGGTGGTTTCCAAGCGTTCTTTATTGAGAATGTATCATGTAGTTAATAAAAATATTATTTTTAAACAATTCTAGAGTGTCAAGATAAACACATGCATACATTCAGAAACATATAACAATATAAAAAATAATAAAAAGACAATCTAAGTCTGTAAAAGAGTCAATCTAAGTGTGTAAAAAACCTCCCACTTCTCGAAACAAAAAGGCTCGGTAAGGAAAAAAGAATTTAGTTTGAACTCTAGCTTGGAGCTTCCTGGTAGCCAAGAAGAAAAGGGGGAACATGGTAGATTACAAGGTGTAGATAAATGAGACATTAGATCCTATGCATTCTATTTGGCTTTGAAATAAGTGTCTTTAGAGGTTTTAAAGCTGAAAATGGAAATGTGATCAACTTAATAATTACTAATTTTAGTAAAATCTTTGGGAGAAACCTCCATTTGCATGGTTATTTTTTTGTCAGCTTCTGTGATGTTAACAAGGAAAATAAAACCAGGCCCTTTTGCCAGAAGACACTGATAGACAATCATTTGTGCATCCTGGCCCACCCTCCCATGACCTTGATCCTTACCACAGCCTTGTCCCAAATGACAGACATCCGCTCCTCTACCCCGTTGGTGCCCTCGGGAATGGCTGTGAAATTGTCCTTCCCGATTGCTTTCTGGGCGGTGCTGAAGGTGCAGTGGGCACTGCCAGAAAGCTGCAGGTCCCCACTGGCAAAGGAGAAAAACTCCATGTGAATGGCAGAGGTGGCTAGGGACACCTTGGAGGCCCAGACTTGAGCACCTAGAGTCAGCATCTGGAGTGCCAGAGCTTGAGTTTGGATTCTTCCTCTTCTTCTCGACAACTATGTTAAGGTGGGTGAATTTATCTAAAGCAAGCTTACCCCACATGGAAAATGAGCGGGGGAGAGGGGGCGACATCATCTCTGTGTTATAAAGTAGAAGGGACCCAAATGAATAATGAGACTGATCCAGAGAGGGTGGCAGCAAATGAGTCCCCCTATAATTTTGGTTAGGGGGTAAATAATTTAGTCTTTCTGACCTTCAGCTGTAATCTGTAAAATGGTTATGAAAGTCCCTCACTCATAAAGTTGTCATGAAGAACAATGAGATCGTGTGTGGTTTTACCCTAGGGCTTGGCACACAACGCATATCAACTGCTATTACCATTATTAATAGAACTATATAGTATTTTTAAAAATACAATGGAGAGGAGCCTGCTGTCTGTGCAGGGGAATTCTCGACGTCTTTCCCTCACTGCAGACTCTAGTCTAGCTGATGGATGGCCTGCTCCCATCCTCATCCCTCCGGTTACGGGACGTTTCCACGCAATGCCTACTTGCAGGTCATTCTGCACCAACCTGGCCAGCAAGGAGTTGATGTAGTCAGGAGTGGTCGGGTCAGGACTCAGAGGTGGGGATGTCACAAAGGCAGCTGCTTTGGCCCAGTTCTTGCTCCAGTAATGGGTTCCATCTGTGCCGAGGCTGGCAGTGATGGGCTCGCCAAAGACCACGTTTCCTGCAAGGGGTAGGGAATAGACACAGGGTTTGCATCAGCCCTGGACCGGTTTAGATAAATCATAGTCCTTTAGCCTACTCAAGGCTGTGGCTCTGAAGTCAGCAGTCCTGGGTTTAAGTCGACGGTCCCACCTTTTCTAAGCCTCTGCTTTTCTAGCTGCTAAATTGGAACAATATTGTATTCCCCAGATTATAAGAAGCCATCGGTTGCAAGATGCAGTATAATTGTTCAAATTTTGAGGCAAATTAAAATCTGTGGCAAAAGAAAAATATGTATACATTGATTATAAAATTCATCCTCATTTCAGAAATGTTAAAATGTGAAATAGACCTATCCTGGTATTAATGAAACGAAATGACGCCCACTTCTCAGACTTGCGAAAATAAAAGGATTTGGCATATGCAAAGTGTCTGGTACACAGGAGATGCTCAGCAAATTTGATTTCTTCATACCTCCTCCTCCTTCCTGTTGTAGAGGCCCAAAGGCCCAAATGCACCCACGTCACTGGGAACTGCTAGATCCTGCTGTTCCGAGGACATGCATTGGTTCCACAAAGTAAAACCTACTCTTGTGGCTGAGAGGTTCTTGTGATTTTTTCTATCGTTTGTTACTCCTTAAGGCAAGGAGTGATTTGCTCAAAAACACCCAATAACCTGGGATACACCAAAGATGAGGATAACTTCCTGGACCCTGTGTCTGGTATTAGGGACTTAAATGTCCCAACCAAGGAGAGGGGAGGAAGGATATTGGAAAATATACTAACCTAAGCTTTTGTTGTGCTTCTTAAAGAAGGGATAGTGATGCATAAGGCAAATGCTGGCTCTTAGAAGGTAGGGTGGTACCAAATTTCTCGGTATCAGAATCTTAAGCTACATATGGTCCATATAGCTCTGGATTTCTTTAGCTTTGGTCCTCCATCTTCCATATTCAAGTTCCCCAAAAGGTCAAAGTTTAAGAGGGCTCTATGGCCAGGATTATAAATAGGTTTTGCCTTGCTTCAACTCCTACTAATTGAATTTGGTTCCCAGATTTCTATGTAGGAAAGAATTCTAATAATGCTTCTGGTCTCGCTAGAAAAGGCTCATGATTGATTTGTGATGTCTGCCATGGGCAAAGGAAGGAAGCAATAATAATGATTTATATACGACAGCCCTCTTTGCAATGACAGTAAAAAGGATCTGCACATGACTAATGGGAATCTCAAGGACTCCCCCAAAAAGTTTACCGAATTAAATCCTTTAAGGACACAAAGTAATTAAGACATGAAAATCAAGTAAAGCACTTTAATACCATTAAGAGAAATACTGCCTTAAAAGTGGAAGAACTCTCTTTTTCTACTTTCTTTAGATGGAAGGGTAGAATAAGCAAAGGCTGTCATTCTGCCTGGGTGTGAATGACAGCTCTCCCAGCTGGGAGACCCTGGACGAGCTGTGCTTCGATTTCCTCATCTGAAAAATGGGGATAATAATACCTATCTCTCAGAGTTTTTTGAGAAGTCCACCTAATAAATTTAAAGTACATTGCATTATTGCATTTCACCTGATTGCACTGTGACGATATTGTATTTTTAAAAATTGAAGGCAAGACCCTCTCCACCAGCACAAAGATTATGACTTGCTGAAGGCTCAGATAATGATTAGCGTTTTTTAGCAATAAAGTGTTTTTAATTAAGGTATTCACATTTTTTAGACATAATGCTACTGCGCACTTAATAGACTATAATATAGTATAAACCTAACTGTTACATGCACTGGGAAACCAAAAAATTTGTGTTTCACTTGCTTCATTACAATATTCGCTTTATGGCAGTGGTCTGGAACCAAACACGCAGTATCTCCGAGATATACCTGTATTTATCTCAGTGCAGGATACATGTTTGTCCTTCTTAAATTATAGATTCCTGATATTAATTCTGAGCAGCCATGCCGAACTGGTAAAGAGCACCTGGTGATTAAACTCACTGGGACTTACGGAGTAACCTGGTCAGGAGGGAAGATTGAACCCTGCTATACTCTGTCTTCCAGCTCTGAATGCTCTGGACTCTTTCTCTGAGAATGACAGTTCCTGAGATGTTTATTGGCTCCAATAGCAACAGCCAGTTTTTCATCACTGAAATAACGCTGCCCTTCCACCCTGCAGACCCAGCTGGACCAGTTCTCCTTGCCAGTGAAGCATGAGCCAGAAGGCGAAAGGTGAGGAATTTTTCTACATGAAGTTTAAAATAAGACCCAGCATATAATTGAAACACTTTGTCCTGAGGCCCCCCAGGTCATCCTAAAAACGGGTCCCAGACAAAATGTAGCCATCAGCGGCAGGTTAGAGAAGGCGAGCAGGGTAAGTGGTCACGGAAAGAGGTGTGGGGTTGTTCCTTATGCTCCTTTCTGTCTTTTCTTTTTTTTCTTTTTTTCTGCCTTTCTCCAGGAATGGGTAAGGAACACTGGACTGTTTTCTGGCTCTCATGCGATGACTCAGACCCTGTGGAGCAACCACACATGTCACGTCGAGACATTTAAAAGCTGAGAGAGAAAACAGCAGACTTACCATGAGCAGGGTAAGGCAGGAGGAGCCCAGATTCTACCAGCTGGAAGGGCTATCAGACAATTAGGACAACTCCCCTCCGTAAAAAAGGGTCCCCTTTGCCAGAAGGCCAGGCCCTGAACACTCGGCCATCAGCGTCAGCTGGGACTATTTTTAGCCGCCCCAGTCACTCACATCTGGAGCTTTACACACCAGTTCTGCGTGTGGTAGATGAATCATTCATCCTGGGTCTCTCCATTACCAGAATGGCCACCAGCCTACAACAGCAACGATTGTACAAGGGGCCCAGAGATTCCTCTTTCACGACTAAAACAGAGCCCTCCGCCTCCAGTTTCTCAACCACACTCTGTTCACAAGGGAGCCCATTAGTCTGCTATTAAGGACAAGAATTCAAAGCAGAAAGGAAAGCTTTAAAATGAGAGTGAACTTTAGCTTAGCCAGAGGTGAGCAAAGGAAGCCCAAGTTAACAGCAGTGGAGGAAAGCAGCAGAGGGCAGGAGGGAATGGGGACAGAGCTCTGGGTCATGTGGCCATGATGCCAGGCACACTTTGGAGACCCAGTCAGCCTCTTTCTAAAACAACCCGTGCTAATCTGTGTGGCTCAGGGTAGGGGTACCCTGCCCTGCTCTGGCCTTCAGCCCTGTCCAATTAATCACACTGCCCCCAGAGCAGATACGGTTCAGGGATGAGCCCATGACCCCAAGCCATGGCCATCGCACTTCTGGGAACTTGGGCTTGAGCTGTTGGAAAAGATGTACTCCACCTCCTCATCATGCTCCCCACCAAGAATGGAGGACAACGGGCACCTCTTGGCATTTATTACTGTCACTGTTCATACTGAAAATAAAGCCAAGAGAGACCATCAGACTCAAGACAGGAATGAGAGTGACAGAGCCCTGATCTCATTGTTTAAACTCCTTCCACTGGCCACGTCTGAAACACCTTCAACCAAGAAGTTACTTTTGCTTAAATCAGCTGGAGTTGGACCTTTGACTTCTGCACCTAATATTATCTTGACTAATATGTCCATTTATAAAGCTTAGTTCCTGTGAATTGACAATCAAAGCTCAAAGAGAGGAAGAAAGATGAGTCACATCTCCAAGGAACTGATTCAAGCTGTGTCAAGACAGGTAAACCAGTTATCCTTCCTGAACCTCAGTTTACTCACCTGCCAAATGGGAGAAATCTGGGATCCTGCTATCCACACAGATATGGAAAAAAGCAAATGAAGCCCATTTGGCTAATGTGGACGAGGGGCTCTCCAGAGAGCAAGGCAATGAGCAAAACAGGCACCATTTATACAGGACATCCAGGGATGGGAGGACACACATGGAGCTTCAAGGCCCCGAGATCTTGGGAGCGCAAATCACCTTTTTTCCTGGCTTGTGAGATGAGGTCAGCTGCACTCTTGCTCATGACCTTCGTGACATAGAGAGGGCAGTTGGTTTGGCTGGCGATGGTGATGGCACGGAACACGGCCTCAGCTTCCAGCTGCAAAAAAAAAAAAGGTCTCCAGGAGTCAACAGGAAGAGGAGCCTCTCAAAGTTGCCATTCCCCTGTCTCCACAAACTGGGAGCACCGTGCAGTGCAGAGGTTAAACGCCTGGACGATCTGAAGATGAATGCTGGGTAGAAGGCTCAGATTTAGTACCTCCCGGCTGTGTCCCTTTGCTAGGTTTCTCAGAGCGTCTGCCCCTCTCCTGTGCAGTGGAGATCGGGAGAGGACAGCGTAGAGTTGTATGACAGAGGTGCCTGGCACACAGTAAGCGCTGCATTGACGTAGCTAGTTTTTCCTTGGCCAATTCTCCTCTTCCTGTGATTATCACAAAGCCCACGCAGTTGAAAGCCTTTGCTCCCTAGTCTTCCCATGGCAGATACTCTGGCAAAACACAATCCCAATACCAATATGTATAAAACAACCAGTGAAGGCTGTTAGCCATCACGCTTCCTCAGATCTTTTCCTGCAGCAAACTGGTGGTCAGTGATGGGTTAATTCCAGCGGGCATGTCTTATACTACTAATTCCTGGACTTCTCGGCACAAAGACTTCTTTTGTTATGGATCTCCTCCATTCCACCCTCATGTAGAGTTCATGTTTTCAAAGATGCTAACCAGCCCACTTGCAGTTATGAAGTACGAAATAGTGAGTTTTCACTTACTTTATTAACAAATCAGTGTTTGAGAGCTCAGGCTTTCTTGAAGGACCTGGGTCTGAGTTCTGATTCTGCCATTTAGAAGTTGGGCGACCTCGGGTACCTTACACAACCTCTCAAATCCTGAATTTCCTTGTCTTTAAAGTGGGGATAATAATAGGATCTGACACATATGGCTGTTGTGCGTATTAAAAGAGTTCATCCTTGTAAGGCCATCAGCCCACTCCTGGGACAAGGCCAGCGTTCCTAGAAGGGTGGCTATTGGTCTTGCTGATGGCAGCTTCTGACTGCTGTGCGATAGCCTGTGTTACTCGCCAAAGTTACTACCCAAGTTAGTCCAATTCAGCCCAGAGCAGAGACATTGGCATTTGTCCATTTGATCATTAAAAGTTTTTCTTTTTTCTTTTTTGATAGATATGATGTTCTGGTTAGCCTCTTGCAGCCCGACCCTTCAAAAAACACCAAAAATAGCCTGCAGACGCTCAGTGCTTATATAGTGCAAACCAATTATTGCCCGTGGTGAGTGTGGCTCAGCAGACAGACTCTAAGAGTTTGGCTGGTCCAGCTGGTGTCCCCCACACTGCACTATGTCCCATGTGGACGAGGTCCTGGAGGTCCCTGACCACAGGGGAATGCAGCCACCTTCCTGAACCACTCCACTGCTGGAGTGGCGTCGTGGGGTCTCTGAACAGCACCATCATGGTAGCTGAGTGTGCTGGGAACGGAGAAGGGGCAGGCTCCTCCCACGCCCCACCTGCCTCTCCACACCTACGCTGACCACCCCAGCCGCCCTAGACCTCAGTCCTGGCCCTTTGATTTCACTCCCTCACAGATCTGCAGGTTCTTCAGCACCTTGACAACATGACTATCTTTGGAAGGTTACATCACTTTCCAGCTTCACCCAAAAGGGCTTCCAGGGTTGTCGGGATCAGCAGCCAAGAGGCTTTCTACTAAAAAGGAGATGAGAATGGGAGGGGAGGGGTTGAACAAACAAACCAAGAACAAAAATAGACTTTGTTCAGAAATCCCTTGGCTGCTGCTGCTGAAGGATCTATCTTGCCAGCACATCTCAACAGTGACCAGCATTTAAGAAACGCGTCACAAACAGTGCTGGTCATCCTGGCCAACTCACACTGTGCAAACAACCTTCCAATCCTTCAGACACGATGGGCCAGAGCCTTAAGTTCTTTGAGCTTCAGCTCCTTTGCACACCAATAACACCAACCACCCAGAGCAGCAAGGACATTTGGGACAATGCAGTTAGCACAACACCGGGTATAAGCAAGTATTCCATAGAAGGGACCTGGCATTAAGGACGCAGATTTTTTTCAGAATTGCTGTGACTACTACTCTAACAAATTTTTTTTTTTCACTAGGGTATAATCGATATATTAGTTTCAGGTGTACAACATAACGATTAGATATTTGTACATATTGCAAAATGATCACCATAATAAGGCTAGTTAACATCTGTCACCACACACGGTTAAAAATTTTTTTTCTTGTAATAAGAAATTTTAAGGTCTACGCTCTTATCAACTTTCAAATATGCGATACAGTATCATTAACTACAGTCACCGTGCTGCACCTCACATCCCCAGGACTTACTTATTTTATAACTGGAAGGTTGTTGCTTTTGACCATCCTCATCCCCTGCCTCTGGCATCCACCAATCTGTTTTTTGTTTCTATGAACTTGGTTGATTTTTTGGAGGGAGTGGGGCGTTTTGTTTTTTAGATTCTACATATAAATGAGATCTTATGGTATTGATCCTTCTCTATCTGACTTATTTCCCGTAGCATAAGGCCCTCAAGGCCATGTTATTACAACTGGCAGAATTTCATTCTTTTTTATGGCTGAATAATATTCTACTGTGTGTGTGTACATGTGTGTGTATATACTATATTTCTTCCATCCACTCATCCATCGATGGACACTTAAATTGTTTCCGTATCTTAGTTATTGTAAATAATGCTGCAATGAACATAGGGGTACAGATATCTTTTGGAATGAGTGTTTTTGTTTTCTTTGAATAAATACCAGAAGTGGAGTCATTAATAGTTCTATTTTTAAGTTTTTGAGGAACCTCCTTACTGTTTTTCATAATGGCTATACCAATTGACATTCCCACCAACAGACAAAATTATGAATTATTTCAACTGGTTACAAACATATTAGACAAAAGGGCTTCTGGGATGCTGATAATGTTCCATTTTTCCAACTGCGTGCTAGTTACATGAGTGTATTCGGTGTGTGAAAATTCATAGTTCCTTTACAAGAGAAATACTTTTCTCTATGTGCGTTACACTTCAATTTAAGGGGGGAAAAAAGATCCTAAAAGAGATGGGCAGTGGGAATGCAATCATTTCTGGTTCTGACTTCTATCTGCTGTAGAGAGTGGGGCTTGGAATGACAGCACAGGAACAGTGTTCACTTCACTGACACGGAGGACCTTGAATTTGCTCCAGGTGCCAGACACAGGCTGATCCCCCAACGCCAATGTGCTCTCAGCCATATGAAGAGCCAGTTCCAGCTCTGTGCCCTGTGCCAGAAGCTGAGGTGGCTGACATCCAGAGACACGGAATCCACCCCTACTTACCTTTCATTCCCTCTTGAGCTGCTAAGCGCAGTCACAAACCAGCATACATTTTACTCATAGGAGACTTCCATACCTGGCTGCAACCATCACCTTACAAATCAACAGACATAAAGCCTACGAAAAACCCATTCAGCCTCCTATCCATATGTCCAATATTTTGCAAGACTCAAAATATAATATGGAATAAGGGAGTGAGTGGAAATGTCTCTGAGATTCATACTGATTAAGAAGGGATTTAGATATTTACCACTCCTACTGAATAACTGAATTACACTCCAACCAACATTATCATTAGAGAGATTAGGGATCAAAAGTAAGAATGTTCCTTACATTCCTTTCTAATTTTCTCAAGGGCCCAGTCAGAAGTGGTCTTTGGAAGAAATGTTCCAATATTGTTGTCTGGTATTTGTAAGAGTCTCACTATCTTTTGTGTGTTCATACACTGTGTGCGCTTGTGCCTAAGGAAGATAGGCTGCACACAAGCAGTCCAAACATAAAATGATTGACAGGCTGTAAGGGAAGCTGCTGGGATTGTGATTGTGATAACCAGAGTCTCGTGGAAGATGCTGGGAACAAAAAGAAAGACTCCACTGCCGCTGCTTCTCTCCCTCCTTCCCCTCTCCCACATCGCCCCACAACTTGCCTCCTCTGGTCTGCTCAGTACATGGCCTTCTGGGCCAGTTATCCCTATTTCCAACATCCGGCTTTGCTCCTAGAATGAGAAAGGAAGAGAAAACAGTTTTTAGATGAGCTCGGCTGAGATTTGGAAAAATCATGCTTGTATATTCTAATTTAAAGATGTATTCGGGGCGGGGGGTGGGGAGGTGGGAAGAATAAAATATGTATGTTGAACAAATTTGTTAACTGTTTATATGAAATTGCAAAGTAGGGTAGGTAGAGTCTTAAGAGGAGAAAAAGCTTTTCAGGGAGGCTTGCTTTTACCAAAAGGAAGACAATCTGTGAAAGGGTATCAGTTCTTTCTACATTAGGCATCAAAAGTCAAGCCAGAGCACTTACTCATTTCTTTCAAATTCAGATACTGCTGAAAGTACACACCCTTAACTCTTTTTTAAAAAAACTCACACCTGCATTTTAAAACCCATTCATTCAACAAAACTACTGAGTATCTGCTTCATGCTAGGCTCTAGGGTAGGTACTTGAATTAAGGCAGCCAGGCCCCTGGCTTCCCAAGACTTACAGTGTAGTGCTACATTTCCCAAAGGCTGGTCTATCTGCCGCCCACATCATAATCGACCGGGTTAAGTGTATAGCAATACAAATGTCTGCCCTATCCAGACCTACTAAATGAGGTTAAATTCTAGGAATCTGCATTTTAACAAGCTCCTCAGGCTTTTTTATGCTTTAAATTTATGACTTAAATGAATGGATTAGAATTTAACCAGACAAAACAATACCTCTAAACAGCATAACCTGAGTTCGTCTTTTGGTCAAATTCTATTTAATTACGTGGTGGATGAGGCAGAACTGCCTATCTCTCGTGGCTGATGGCTAAATTTTTCAGACTTCTGGCCAGCTTTCTGGAAGAAGCAGGTGGCTGGGCTTCTTCAATTAGCTCATGAACTCACACTTGGGCTAATTGGAACTGACACAAATCTAAAGCCACCATCTCTGCAGGTTTGCTGGCATTTGCTCTCAAAGTACGAAGGCCAGTTCCCATGAATCTCTGTACCGGTGATGTG